TATGGATTTACCCTTCCCCTCCACCCCCTTCTACCTGCCCGTTACCCTATGAATGTTACTTCACATGTGTGTACCTTAGTGTTGATCAATTAGTACCAATTTAATGGTGAGTACATGTGGTCAAACGTAAGACTTTGAATATAAAACTTACTAAATATCCCCCCACCAAAAAAAAATAGCTAAAGCCCTATCTAAAATGTAAAGGTCATCATACTCAGTCTGACACTGGTTTATTTTAGGCACCAAGACCTAAACCAAGACAACGTTTAACACCTGTAGATAAGAAGGTGTCTTTTGTGGATATCATGCCACATCAGAGTGATGTAAGTAGTAAACACTTAAAATACTGATTTTTTTTCCCATAGCAAACATTTGAAATAAATGATATAGGTATACTATATCCTCCCTGATTTAAATGGAAACAGGTGAATAAAGTGTGTCTTTTCCCTTTAAAATGAAAGCTTTCTATTTTGGCATACGGTAAGCGTTAAATATTCATACTTTGATTTAAACCCTCTCATGGCCCCATATCTCTCTCCAGCTACTGCCACAATCCAGTGTTCTCATTTACCAAAAAAAGGTCTTCAAAAAAATTATCTTAATTCTGTTTCTCTCTTTTCACACTGTTTCTTAAGCTCACCCCAGTCAAGCCTTTATCCTCATTAAAACTACTCTTACTAAGTTCACAGTGACTTTCTCTCTGCCATATCTAGTAGTCAATTCTCAGTGCCCGTCTTGATCTCCAGGAGCATTTGACACAGTGGAATACTTGCACCCTCTTCTCTTGGCCTCTGTGATACCATGCCTTCCTAGTTTTCTTCCAACTTTGCCAGTTAGACTTCTCACTCTCCCGGACCTGTGTCTAAATGTTGAAGTGCCTCAGCATCAGTCCTCAACCTCTTCCCAGTCTATATTTTCCTTTTTTGGAGGGGTTGGGGGCAGGGTCTTCCTCTGTTGCCCAGGCTAGAGTGCAGTGGCATCATCATAGCTTGCTGCAACCTCTAATTCCTGGGCTTAAGCAATCCTCCTGCCTCAGCCTCCCAAGAAGCTGGGACTACAGGCACCCACTACTACACCCAGCTAATTTTTTTTTTTTTTGTAGATAAACAGCTTTTCTCTATGTTGCTCAGGCTGGTCTCCACCTCCTGGTCTCAAGTGATCCCCCCACCTCTGCCTCCCAAAGTGCTAAGATTATAGGCTTGAGCCACCTCGCCCGACCTCAATCTATATCTTCATTAAGAGATCTTATCCATTCTCACGTCTTTAAAAAGCATCTGTATGCCAACACTCCCATATTTATAATCTCTAAGCTCAAACTCACTGCTGAATTCCATATTTACTTTCTTATTGCTTATTTCATGTGCAATGGATGTTTAATAGGAATTTAAACATAATACGTCAAAAACGAAACTTCTGATTACACCAACCCTCTTCCAAAATTTTTGCCTCTTTCAGTGTTTCCCATTCTCATTAAATCACTCACTCAGTTGCACAGGTGTGAATGTTAGAGGCAACTCTTGACTCCTCTCTTTTTCTCATACCCACATCCAGTTCATCCACAAAAGCTGTCACTGTACTTTCAAAATATGTCCTGTATTTGCATCATCTACATCATTACCACTCAAGTTATTTCTCATGTGGACTTCGTACAAAGATTTTTTTCTTTGTAATTCACATATAACAAATAATATGGACATAAACCTTAAGCATACAGCCCAGTGGATTTTTGCATATGTATACACCTATGTAACCACGAGCCACATCAAAATATTCTGTCTCACCAGGGCTTAAAATAATTCCTGGCATATACAAAGCATTTAATAGATATGTGATAACTGAATTCAATAATTATAATTCAGGAGATGTTTTATAGCTGGCATTTATTGAGTACTTATTATGTTTCAGGCACTGGACTAAATGCTTTATATACACTGGATTCATTTAATCCTCACAACAACCCTATGTAGTTCATACTAGAATTATTCCCATTGAAAGATGGGAAAAGTAATGTTTACGGAAGTTAAGTAATTTGCTCATGGCCAAAGTTTTACAGCTGGGATTTAAACACAGGTATCCTGATTCCTCAGTAAATGACCCATTAATGTTAAAAAGACATATATACTTAGAGATATTTGGTGTAATGTTAGCCATGATATCTAAAAACTGTGAACTAATTAAATGTCCAAAGTAAAATAGTTCATTAAGCCATGGTACACCCATCAATGTAATAGTATATTGTCATTTAAAATTACGTTCCCAAAGTTTCATATCAGGAGAAAATATTTATGTTATAATATTAAAATTTTTAAAAATACAACAGAATATAGTGCATTTATAATACAATTATCACTATGTAAAAAGAAGTTTTTATTTACATCAAATTACACAGACCTAGAAATTTAAGAAGTTATTAATAAATATGACCATTGGGTAGTAGGAATATGGATTTATATTAATTTCTTTTATATTTTCTTATTTCTCTTTCACATTTTATATATTAGATATGTTTACTTTTAAAATAGTAAAAGTTATAAGCTATATTTTAAAAACAAAACATCTGTTTATGAACCTAGGAAAAATGGTTAACTATAAACTGGTATTTGATACAGTTATAAAAAGATAATACTGATTATAGGAAATACTTACCTATACTAGTATATGCAGTTTTTAAAGTCACATGAGTAATATGTAATTATTATAGAAATATTAGAAAATACAAATAAGCAAAACAAAAACCAGTAAAAATAAAATTAAATTTCCCCAAATGTATAACTCAGAGAAAATATTTTGGTGAATTTCCTTGTATACTTTTTCTCATGGAAATGCACATGTATTTGATTGCCTGTTTGTATTTTAACAAAATATGGTACATATTATTCTATAGCTAGCTTTTTTATTCAATACTGTAGTATGTACTCTGTAATGCCAGTAGGTACAGATCTACATCATTATTTTTTCATGGTTGGTTACACAGAACTCAGGTATCTGGATGTAACATATTTTATTTAACAAATGCCATATTGTTAGACATTTCCATTGCTTTCAGTTTTTCTGCTATTATAAACAATGCTTCAGTGAACTATACTTGCAGTTCTTAAATTGAAGGTTAAAGAATAGTAACCATTTTATTGAAATATATTAAATTCAGTGTCATATGAGTAACTATTTTATTTGCTACCAGTACATCAGTATATGTGTAAAAGTCTTACAATGATTTAGAATTTAGTAATAAATATGAAATAAAATACATGCATGTTTTCACATTAATATAAGGAGACTTCTACTTCTTCTGAAGATATGAAGGAAATTTCACCAGAAATGGAGGATACACCTGAAGTAGAAATTAATATGCCTACTGTTACACATATTCCCGAGGTATGCATTTGTATTAAAATTATTTTGGAAGGTTTAATTTGGTTCTTAAAGACTTTGTCTGTGAGTATTGACATGGTTCAGGAAATCATAGTATTTATTCTATTTTTATATTTGACTTCCTTGCAATAGAAAGGTCAAAAATATGACACATGCAACAGCTATAATTGTACTGATATTTGCAGGTATACATATGTGCATTAAGGTTTTAATGTAAAATTAATTTTGAGATTAATGCACTTTTCATTCTTAATGTATATTTAGATTTTCATTTATCTAAAAGATACAGTCATTTGTATAAATTTAAGTGGTTGTTTTCTGAGTCTCATATATATTGCATATCTGTATATTTAAGTCTCAAATTTATATGCTTTATTATTAAAGTGCTTCAGAAAAAAATGTTATAAAATATGATCTAAGCAATAACAAATGTATCAGTGTGCTTTCCTTTCTTCAGATTTCACAAGAAAGCAGTATAGAGAAGGTAAAAGAGAACACTGAGAAAATGCAGCAAGAAAAAGATGATGAGGTGTCTTTACTATCTGAAGGTCAGCTGGTAGTACGAAGCTTGTCATCTTCTGAAAATGAAACAGAAATAACAGAGGAATTGGAACCAGAAGGTGACTTTCCTTTTTAAACTAACATTTTTTAGTTGGCCCTTTGCTTTCTTTGGTCTGTTAGAGAGAGTATGCATCATAGAACATTTCATTTAATAGTAGGATCTACCTCATGATACCTATTTCTCTTTTTTCCTTTTTATCATTTTTATAATTTTTATTTCAAAATATTATGTGGTACAAGTGTTCTTGTTACATGAATGAATTGTTTAATGCTAAAGTCAGGGCTTTTAATGTGCCCACCACCAGAATAGTGTACATTGTACTTGATAGGTAACTTTTTATCCCTCACCCCCTTCCACCCTCCCCCATTTTTAGTTTCTAATGTTCTTCACACACCAGCGCTCCCCAACATTTTTGGCACCAGGGACTGGTTTCATGGAAGACAATTTTTCCGTGGACCAAGGTGAGGGGTGGAGAGGCAGAGCTCAGGCAGTGATGCAAGTGATGGAGAGCGGCTATTAACACAGATGAAGCTTCCCTTGCCCACCCACTGCTCACCTCCTGCTGTGCAACCAGTTCCTGAGTTTTATGGAAGACAGTTTTTCCATGGACAGGGGCAGGGGGTTGGAGCTCAGGCAGTAATGTACACCCCAGTTCCTAACAGGCCATGGACTGGTACTGGGCCATAGCCCAGGGGTTGGGGACCACAGCTTTAGACCACTTTGTGACCATGTGTACCCATCATTTGGCTCCCACTTTCTAGTGAGAACATGTGGTTTTTGCTTTTCCATTCCTGAGATACTTCTCTTAGGATAATGTTCTCAAGTTTCTGCAAATGACATTACTTCATTCCTTCTTATGGCTGAGTAGTACTCCATGGTGTATATATATATCACATTTTCTTTATCCACTCATCAGTGGACTCTTAGGTTGATTCCACATCTTTGCAACTGTGAATTGTGCTGCAATAAACATTGTGGTATAGGTGGCTTTTTGATACAATGACTTCTTTTCCTTTGGGTAGATACCCAGTAGTGGAATTGCTGGATTGAAAGGTAGGTCTACTTTTAGTTCTTTGAGGAATCTCCATACTGTTTTCCTTAGAGGTTGTACTAATTTACAGTCCCATCAACAGTGTATACAAGTTCCTTTTTCACCACATCCACGCTAACATTTATTGTTTTTTGATTTTTAATAAGGGCCGTTCTAATGGGGGAAGGTGGTATCTCATTGTGGTTTTAATTTGCATTTCCCTGGTGATTAGTTATGTTGAGCATATCTCTGTTAGCCTTTCGTATATCGTTTGAAAAGCTTCTGTTCATGTCTTTTGCCCACTTTTTAATGGAGTTATTTGTTTTTTTTCTTCCTGATTTGTTTGAGTTCTTTGTAGATTCTGGATATTAGCTCATTGTTGGGTGTTTAGTTTGCAAATATTTTCTCCCATTCTGCAGGGTGTCTATTTACTCTGTTGATTATTTCCTATGCTATGCAGAAACTTTTTAATTTAATTAGGTCCCATTTATTTATTTTTGTTGTTGCCGTATTTACCTTTAGGATCTTAGTAATAAATTCTTTGCCTAGGCCAATGTCTAGAAGAGTTTTTCCTATAGGTTCTTCCAGAATTTTCATGGTTTCAGGTCTTACATTTGGTCTTTAATCCATCTTCAGGTAATTTTTGTATATGGCAAGAGATAGGGATTCTGTTTCGTTCTTCTGAATGTAGCTATCCAATTTTCCCAGTGCCATTTATTGAGTAGGTCCTTTCTTCTCAATATGTTTTAGTCTGCTTTGTCAGAAATCAGTTAGTCATAGCTATATGGTTTTGTTTCTGGTTTCTCTATTCTGTTCCATTTGTCTATGTCTCTACCTTATATCAGTGCCATGCTGTTTTAGTAGTACTATGGCCCTTTAGTATAATTGGAAATCAGGTACTGTGTTGCCTCCAGATTTGTTCTTTTTGCTTAAGATCGGTTATTCAGGCTCTTTTTTGGTTCCATATGAAATTTAGGATTATTTTTTCTAGATCTGTGAAAAATGACATTGGTGTTTTGATGGGAATTATGTTGAATCCGTAAATCACTTTGGGCAGTGTGGACATTTTAACAATGTTGATTCTTCTAATCCATGAGCATTGGATGTTTTTCCATTTTTTTGTGTCATATGTGATTTCTTTCATCAGTGTTTTGTAGTTCTTGTAGAGAGCTTTCATCTCTTTGGTTAAGTATATTCCCAGGTATTTTATTTTCTTTGCAGCTATCATAAAGAGGATTAAATTCTTAATTTGACTCTCAGCTTGACTGTTAATAGGATATGGAAATGCTGCTGACTGGCGTACATTGCTTTTGTAGCCTGAGACTTTACTGAATTTATTTATCAATTCTAGGAGTCTTTGGTGGAATCCTTGAGATTTTCCAGATACAAGATCATATATCATCAGCAAACAGGAATAATTTGCCCTCCTCTTTCCTAATTTGGATGCCCTTTATTTCTTTCTCTTGACTGATTGCTCTGGCTAGTACTTCCAGTATTATATTGAATAGAAGTGGTGACAGTGGACACCCTTGTCTTTTTCCATTTCTTAGAGGGACTGCTTTTAATTTTATGATGTTGGCTGTGGGTTCATCATATATGGCTTTTACTATTTTGAGGTGTGTTACTTATATGCCTAGTTTGTTGAGGGTTTTTAATCATCAAGAGGTGTTAGATTTTATCGAATGCTTTTTCTGCATCTATTGAGATGATCATATGGTCTTTCTTTTTACTTCTGTTTATGTGGTGAATCACATTTATTAATTTGCATATGTTGAACCATCCTTGCGTCCTCGGGATGAAACCCACTTGATCATCGTGCATTATCTTTTTGATATGCTGTTGAATTCAGTTTGCTAGTATTTTGCTGAGGATTTTTGCATCTGTGTTCATAAGAGATATTGGTTCATAGTTTTCCTTTTTTGTTGTGTCCTTTCCTTGCTTTAGTATCAAGGTGTTACTGGCTTCATAAGGATTCCCTCTTTGTTAATGTTATGAAACAATTCAGTACAATGGGTGCCTGTTCTTCTTTGTAGGTCTGGTAGAATTCATTTGTGAACCATCTGGGCCGGGGCTTTGTTTTTTTGGGATATTTTTTGTTACTGTTTCAATCTAGCTACTTTTTATTGGTCTCTTCAAGATTTCTATTTCTTCCTGATTCAGGCTCAGGAAGTTGTGTGTTTCTAAGAATTTATCCATTTTCTCTAGGTTTTCAGTTTGTGTGCTTAGAGGTTTCCATAGTAGTCTTGGATGATATTTTGTATTTCTGTGGCATCAGTTGTAATATCTCCTTTTTCACTTCTGATTGTGTTTATTTGAGTCCTTTCCCTTCTGTTTCTGGTTAATCTAGCTAGTGGTTTATCAGTCTTGTTTATCCTTTCAAAGAACCAAATTTATGTTTAGTTCATCTTTGGTGTTGGTTTTTTTTTTTTTTTTTTTTTTTTTTTTTTCATTTCATTCAGTTCTGCTCTGAGCTTTGTTTTTTATTTCCTTCTACTGACTTTGGGTTTGGTTTGCTCTTTTTCTAGTTCCTTGAGGTATGACATTAGGTTGTTAATTTGTGATCTTTCTTTTTGATGTAATCATTTAAGGCTAGGAATTTTCCCCTAACACTGTTTTTACTGTATCCCATAGATTTTTGGAAGTTTGTGTCACCTTTGTCATTCAATATGAAAATTTTTTTACTTCCATCTTGATTTCATCAATAACCCAAGGATCGTTCAGCAGCAGGTTTTTTAATTTCCATGTATCTGTTTAGTTTTGAAAGTTTTTCTTGGAATTGGTTTGTGATTTTATTCCATTATGGCCTGAGAAGATTTAATACATGGTATGATTTCAATTTTTCTAAATTTGTTGAGACTTGTTTTGTGTCCTAACATATGATCTGTCTTGGAAAATATCCCATGTACTGATGAGAAGAATGTATATTCTGCAGTTTTGGGGGTGAATGTTCTGTAAATGTCTCTTAGGTCCATTTGTTCTAGAGTCCCATTTAAGTTCAGTATCTCTTTGTTGATCTTCTGCCTCGAAGATCTATCTAGTTCTGTCAGTAGAGTGTTCCAAGTCCCTAGCTATTAGGATGTTGCATTTTATTTCTTTCCTTAGATCTAATAGAATTTGCTTTATGAATCTTGTGGCTCCCGTGTTAGATGCATATATATGGAAGATGGTTATATCTTCTTGTTGAATCGATGCCTTTATCATTATATAATGACCATCTCTGTCTTTTTTGTACCATTGTTGACTTAGAGTTTATTTCATGTGATAAGAAAATAGCTACTTCTGCTCGCTTCTGGTTTCCATTTGCATGGAATATTTTTTTCCACCCCTTTACCCTGAATCTATGAGAATCTTTGCGAGTTAAATGGGTCTCTTAGTGACAGTATATATTTGGGTTGTTTTTTAATCCATTCAGCCAATCTGCATATTTTAAGGGAGACATTAAGACCACTCACATTAAATGTTAGTATTGATATGTGAGGTACTGTTCTGATCATAATTTTGATTGTTACCTAGTTGCTTTGTTTTCTCCCTTGTGTTACTGTTTTATAAGGGCTTTGAGTTTTGACTTTTGAGTGTTTTTACACTGATGGGTATTGATTGCTCTGTGTCTGTTCCATGTATGGAACACTTTTAAGCATTTCTTATAGAGCAGGTCTAGTAGTGACAAATTCCGTCAGTGTTTGCTTATCCGGGACAGAATATTTCTCCTTCATTTTTGAACTTTAGTTTTGCAGAATACAAAATTCTTGGCTGGCAGTTATTCTGTTTAAGGAGACTAAAGATAGGACCCTATTCCTTTCTGGCTTGTTTCTCTTGAGAAGTCTGCTTTTAGCTTGATGGGTTTCCCTTTGTACATTACTTGATGTTTTTTCCTCACAGTTCATAGGAGTTCTTCCTTCGTGTTGACTTTGGCCAGTCTGATGACTCTATGCCTTGGTGATGCCTTTTTTGCAATGAATCTCCTAGGTGTTCATTGAGCCTCTTGTATCTGGATGTCTAAATCTCCAGCAAGATCAGGGAAGTTTTCT